TGCATTAATAGGAGTCTAGTGCCTAGATCCAAGGATGTTATGCTCCCCATTCTCTATTCTGCCTTGGTCAGACCACTTTGCCTAGAATCCCACTTGTCCAATTCTGGGCACCACAATTAAAGGGAGAGGTTGATTTTAAGCTGGAATGTGTCCAGAGGAGGACAACTCAAAGTATCAAGGGTCTGGAGAACAAGCCCTATGAGGAGCGGCTGAAAGAGCCGGTCATGTTTAGCCTGCAGAAGAGAAGGCTGAGAGGAGATGAGGGCCATGGATAAATGTGTGAGAGGAAGTCATGGAGAGGAGGGAGCAGGCTTCCTTTCTGCGGCCCTGGAGACTAGGACGCAATGGAGCAATGGCTTCAAATTACAGGAAAGGAAATTCCACATGAACCTGAGGAAGAACTTCCTGACTGTGAGAGAGAGTTGTTCAGCAGTGGAACTCTCTTCCCCAGAGTGTGGTGGAGGCTCCTTCTTTGGAGGCTTTCAAGCATAGGTTGGATGATCATCTCTTGGGGGTGCTTTGAATATGATTTTCCTGGTTTTTGGGCAGAATGAGGTTGGACTGGATGACCCACGAGGTCTCTTCCAACTCTATGATTCTATGATTCTATGAAGGGAGATGTTGACTCTAAGTTGGAATACTGTGTCCAGAGGAAAAGGACAACTCAAGGATCAAGGGTCTGGAGAACAAGCCCTATGAGTAGTGGCTGAAAGATCTGGGCATGTTTAGCCTGAAGAAGAGAAGGCTGAGAAGAGACATGATGAGGGCCATGCATAAATATGTGAGAGGAAGTTATTGGGAGGAGGGAGCAAGCTTGTTTTCTGCTTCCCTGGAGACTAGGATGCAATGGAGTCATGGCTTCAAACTACAAGAAAGGAGATTCCATCTGAACATGAGGAAGAACTTCCTGACTGTGAGAGCCGTTCAGCAGTGGAACTCTCTGCCCCGGAGTGTGGTGGAGGCTCCTTCTTTGGAGGCTTTTAAACAGAGGCTGGATGGCCATCTGTCAGGGGTGCTTTGAATGCAATTTTCCTGCTTCTTGGCAGAATGGGGTTGGGCTGGATGGCCCATGAGGTGTCTTCCAACTCTAAGATTCTATGATTCTATGCAGAAATACAGTCGGTCCTCCATAGAGTCAAACTGAAACTGGTTGAGTGGCTGAATACAAAGGCTGCGTCTGCCCAATGGTTCCTCCTCATTTCTCCTGGAGAGAAAGGTTCATTTCTGGGCTCAGTCCTAGTCAACATCTGTAGCAATGATGTGGGTGACAGAATAGAAGGTAGGCTGATCAAATTTCCAGATGGGACCAAACTGGGAGGGATAGCTAATACCCCAGAGAAAGGACCAGGATGCAAAATGGCAGTAAGCAATAAGATTGCTGGGCCAAAACTGACAAAATCAATATCAACAATGAGAAATGGAAGGTACTACACTTTGGCAATTAAAATAAAATGCACAGATATAGGATGGGAAAAATCTGGTTTGAAAACAATCCATGTGAAAGGGATCTACCAGCATTGCTGGTTTTACTGGCATTGACTTTTTGCCAGAGTTGTAAGTCGCCTTGAGTCCCTTTGGGTGATAAAAGTGGGGTAGAAA